TGCCTTGTGTTGAAGCAACCTTTTAGGTATGTGGCCCTGAGGCTCGTGAAGATGGCGACGGTGGCTCTTACGCTGTGCCCTTAGGCATGTATAGTTAACTATTTTGGATCTGGTCTCCAAATTGGGTTATGAATCGAGCTCATTTTAATCCTCAAGGTTTCAATTTTTTAGTTGGCGGCAGTGGCTCTTACACTATTGGTCATTGAGACCTTTTAGTGTGTGGCCTTGAGGCACATTTGGCTGGCGACAATGGCTCTTACGCTCTGCCCGTAGGTATATGTAGGCTTTGTTTTCCTCTCGTTAAGATCTTTTTTTAAATAATTTTGCTTGACCCGTCATCGGTTCGGGAAGAACCTCGATTTCAAGTCGTTAGCGGCGATGCTTGAGCACCTCGGAAGGTTTAGCTCGTAGGCTGAGTAGCTCGAAGCCTTGTGATTTGGAGCTGACATGGTCGAAGCTCGTTTGCCTGTTGAGGGTAGCCTGTTTTGACCGGTTTTTTTCGAAGTAGATTCGAAGTAATGGCCTATGATTTTGTTAGCGACGGTCGGGCGTCCTCGAGTTGCATTAATTTGGCTGGTGCAACCATTTTGACCGTAATCATATGTGTTTGGCCGGAGCCATTTTTTATCCCGAGTGATAGTTTAGGCGTCTACATCGAGGGTATGCCCTTTCGGGAGTCTTACAAATGCAATATATAGCCTAAACTTCGGGATTGCGTTTTATGCCTATAGTAAGGTCTTACAAAATTTTCATGCCTGTTAAGGTCTTACAATTTTTCATGCATGTTGAGGTCTTACAGTTTTTGATGCCTATTGAGGTCTTACAGTTTGTCGTGCCTATTGAGGTCTTATAGTTTTTTCATGCCTGTTGAGGTTTTACAGTTTTTTCATGTCTGTTGAGGTCTTACAGTTTTTTTATGCCTGTTGAGATCTTACAGTTTGTTATGTAAAGTAGATCTGGTTAGACCGAGTCTGCCAGCTCGGGGTCTTAAGGCCTCGGGTTTCCTAGTGAATGGCAATTGACGGCAGTCTCCAAGTCATCGAGTTTGCTTAGGCCCGAAGACCGTTACTCGTGAGTTTGGAATTGCCTCGTTGGGGCCTTATGAGCAAGGAGTTCCGACCCTGAGATCGTGCGGGTGCTAGATCATTGACGCTAAGTCTCCGAATATTTCGGGATGTACTCGATGGGGGGAATCCTTGCCACGACCATGCCGCATTTTTCTTTTTTGGAGTACGAGATGCTAAAAGATATTCTTTAATTGCTTGGCATAAATACATGTTGTTTCGTTGTCGTGAGCTCGGCCCACGCGGGCACGGCTCCTTTGACTGTTTGGCCCGGTACATGATTTCCTGTTGGAACTCGGTCTACCGTTTCCCGGCCCCTTCGATTGGATGGCATCTTCAAGGGGGGTGCCCTTCATTGTTCGGGGTTGATTGCAAAAGAAAGCCTGTGAGCTTGTCGGATCCTTCTTAGGAGGCACGTTGCTCTACTAAGAACCTTGCTGGCGAGACCCTCTTCGGGGCGAAAGTCCGGCCGAGGGGAAAGAGTGTGACGGGTGTCGTTAAGGCCTTGGGATCTTCAGGTAGAGTTAGCACTTCCGAACGCCCTGGCCAGGTGTCTGCATACAGGTTAGTGTAACATAACGAATGGAGGAGGCAGTTTTACTTTACCATAAGGTGCGCAGGCGATGTTTCAAGGTTCGATATGCCCCTGCTATTTTGAAGCGAGGAATCTAGTATAGCCCTCCGCTATATTTAATCAAGCTTGGCCGAAGATCTGGTTCTCTTACCCTTTGACTCTTTCGAGAGAGGAGATATTGGTGTCGGCGATGCGTTATGTGATGCAAACATTTTCCTTGTTGTGTGTCGTTCCCCGCAGACGGTTTCAATTCTGTCCTTCGTTGGGGGTTTCATTCTTTGGCAAAGTGGGGAAGGTACCATTTTCATGTGGTGTGTCCGCGACTGTCTGAATAAGGCATTCATGCCTTGCACCTCTTTTGATGATACGGGACTTGGCGTTCCGGTCTGCGCCAGCTGCGCTGACTGAGAGAATGATTTTTCTTCTTGTTGTCTCGATCGCCGTGTGGAATTCGCCAAAGATTCGAGATGTGGGCGTGATTTGGTCCGTCGGTCCGAGCCGCCCTATCAACCTCGGCCCGACAACGTTGATCGAGCCACCTGAATTCATGAGCATATGTTTTATTTGAAATGGATTGAATGAGGAAGAAGGTTACCAATGCGTCAGTGTGAGGCCGAGACAAGGTCTTGGTGTCTTTTTTGCTAAATGTGAGGGCGTCCTCGGGAATATATCCCCAGATTCGTTTTTCTCTGGTGATGAGCATTTTTACTTTCCTTTTTATGAGTTCTTGGAGAGTGTCGTCGCTCCTCCACTATCGTGGTAATACATCGCGGCTCATTTGCTTCATTTTTCTTGGTCGCCTTCCTTACTCGGAACTGAACTCGAGCCTGATCGCTCGACAGTTCTTGGCGGTGATTTCTAT